CTCTCTTTACATAACATGACCAAAAACGATGACTGTCTCTTTCTGATGTTTATGATAAGCTGTCTTCGGGCACTCGCCTCTGTCAAAACATCCGGGTTGCTCTTCTTAGCTGTCATCTGAATTGTAAGAATTCTTCTGTAAAAACCACTTCTCCAAGAATTCAAGAATTGTCCGACTTGTTTATCAGTTGCCCGGAACGAGGGTTTACTGTAGTTAATTTTACATTACTTCATTTCTATAGTACATGTTTACATAGCAGAATATCTTAGTGTCTTTGCGTTAGAACCTACTCTCTTTCTATGATGGTGATTATTGCTTTTGTTACCCGACAAAGTATTGTCACAGCAATGTGAACGTTTTTTATGTGACTGAATTCTTGCAAAATCCAAAAAAAAAAAAAAAAAAATACAATCTACATTCCCAAAGCACGTAAGCCACGACAGTGGAAAAGTTACAAGGGAAGAGAAGCAATGGTAATAGACAAGATGGTGGATAGTTGGGCATCATGACATGGAACCAGATCTTTATCTGAAATGATTGATCATAAATTTGACAAATAAATGTGGACAGACACGATTACCGAGGCTTGAACTAGAAGAAGGATGCTAACTAGGAGGAGGAGTATTAGTAGTAGCAGCAGCAGCAGTAATGGTAGTAGTAGTTGTTGTTGTTATTGTTGTTCTTGTTGTAGTAGCAGCAGCAGCAGCAGCAGCAGCAGTAGTAGTAGTAGTAGTAGTAGCAGCAGCAGCAACAGCAGCAGCAGCAGCAGCAGCAGAAGTAGTAAAAAAAGAAGATGATGATGACGATGGAGTTCTCGCAAAGTTGAACGTCTCCACTTCACGTTTTCTTTTTAGACAATGACAGCTGTATTGATCTTGATAATGACAACGACGATTATAATGTTACATGTAACATACTGCTGTAACCGAATGTAACAAACATCCTGTCTACCATTGCACCTTTGGCCCTGAAAGATCCGACACAGATGCGGGTACAGTGTCATGCTAGATCAGCACAAGTGCTACCTACTGGACTTTGCAGTAGCGCCAGTTGCCAGCTGCCCAACTGCTTCTGTTTTGGGACCCGTCCTTTCGTTGCCGAACCACCAATGTTCCTGATGGTTTCTTTTGACGGACCGGTTTCCAGCTATTGGTTTGACGTACATCACAAGTCTCTCACAGTAAACAATACCTATAACTTGTTCAACCCCAGCGGATGTAGATCCAAGTAAGTATGGTACTCTGATTGTATTGTTTATTTATCGCGACACGGTGAATCGATACGACATTATATGGATATGATGTGAGAGTAACTGGGCGCCCAAAGAAAAGGGTAATAGCATTTAGCATATACTTAATGTATCAACACTGAATCACAACAGCAAGTGCATTCCATCGAATGTCCTTCCCCATACCGTTTAAACAACAAAAAGTGATAATAGCTGTGATGATGTTAATGTGGATGACGACGACCACGATGATAATGATGATGATGAGGATGATGATGATGATGACGTTGACGATAGGCTCAAATTGGCACAAATGCGCCTACGTAAACGCTCAGAGCATCCGAGTGTTCTTTATGGTGTAGAGGTAGAAATGACAGATGAACTGATGGGAAAGCTGACAGAAGGCGAAATGAAGCCTTAGAGAAGAATATTGGAAATATCATAGACGGAATAAAATCCGAAGTACTTGGCCCTGCAAACCACAGGAAAAGGACATGACAAATATATGGTGAACCTAAGAAAGAGATGCAGAAGACAAAGAAGGAGTGTTATGTGGTGAACTGTGTGGTAATAGAGGCAGAGGAAAATAGAACGTAATTTGTCGACAGGTTAAACAACTGGGCAGCGAATCATAGCATAAATATTAGCTACTTCAACACAGTAGAAAAGCAACAACAACAACAACAAAAAAATAAATAAAGAACGGAACAGGGAAACTTCCTCACTTGTTTGTTAGTATGTAGGATAATGCGTGTTAGTTGAAGGGAACGACCTCAACAAGTCTTGGCAACCTTGACATTCACTTTCTAGAACCATCACTTGTTTACTGGCAAATAAAAAAACCTTGTTCAATAAATAGCATTTGATGTATTTTTGTGACATGCCCTGTCAAAGAGATCGCAAAAACACTCGCTTTCTGGAAGTCCCCAGGAGGTCAGTTGCAAAACAAATGAGTACATTTAGGTGCAGAACTATCTGATGTAATCGAGGCGCAATTAGAAAAACCCACGATGAATCCTTCAGTGGCTGAGACTTGAAAGGAGGGACTAGTAACATGAACCCTCACATGTTATGAAGATCCTTCAGTCGCTGAGATGCCAGCTCAACACTAGAAGAAGAGGAAACAGTCACATGGAGCCTCGAAGACAGTCACTAAAGATTTGACATGAAACAAGACATCGAGCTACAGAGACAACAGACAAGATACACGGATCCGTGGTTAACAGAGACATATTAGACCGAAACATTACTGAAGTGTTAGAGTGGACGAAAAAGCCATTAGAGCCAGACAGCACTAGAAGTCAGGCGGCAGTTACAGACGCTAGAACAAGCTAACCAATTGACCAGAGATGAAGAACACAATGCGACATCAAGAGGATGTAACCTCAGAGCGACAACAGCTGCTTTTCAGAATATCATTGATGTTATTAGTGGCATTATTTAGGTTTTACAATAAAAACAGTATAGAAAAGAAAAGTTGTTTAAAGACATTTTGTTATACAAAGAGTGACTTGAGAAACATGTAGCAAGCACGAGAGACCATCATCACCACCACTATCGACACGACCATCTTTCTTTTCGTCTATATTCTTCAACTGACTACTGCTATAGCAAACTAAAGGGGAACCTGTGTGTGACATCAACATACACGAAGAAGACAGCTGTGCTACAAGAAGAAAGAAAAAAATTGAAGAAGAAACAGTTGATACAAAATTAGAAGAAAAAAAAAGAGAAATTTGTTGTGAAAAAAAAATAGATAGATAGATAGATAGATAGATAGATAGATAGATAGATAGATAGATAGATAGATAGATAGATAGATAGATAGATAGATAGATAGATAGATAGATAGATAGATAGATAGATAGATAGATAGATAGATAGATAGATAGATAGATAGATAGATAGATAGATAGATAGATAGATAGATAGATAGATAGATAGATAGATAGATAGATAGATAGATAGATAGATAGATAGATAGATAGATCGATAGATCGATAGATAGATCGATAGATAGATAGATAGATAGATAGATAGATAGATAGATAGATAGATATACAGATAGATAGACAGATAGATAGACAGATAGATAGACAGACAGACAGACAGACAGACAGACAGACAGACAGACAGACAGACAGACAGACAGACAGACAGACAGACAGACAGACAGACAGACAGACAGACAGACAGACAGACAGACAACTATCATTATATGTTGCAGGTTTGCCTATTATGTAAACCCTATGGACACCGATTTCAACAAAGTGAAGTTACTCTGGGAGGGGGGCAATGAGATTGGCTTGAGCACTTCCCTTTCATCACTCGAAGAGGTAGGTTATTTTGTTTTTAAGTTTACACTATATTATTGACAGGGGGCAGGGGGGGGGGGGGGGCTAAAAAATGGAGACAATTGATCTAGAGCAGTGGCTCTTAACCCCTTCTTGGGGTTGAACGACCCATTCACAGGGGTCGCCAAAGACCATCGGAAAACACATATTGGTATGATCCACGATATTTTCCACACGGTACACACTAGCTCGCTTCTGATTTGTCGGCCTCCAGTCACCCGACCTTCGCACACTGCTGGGGGGAATGGAGAAAAAGAGCAGGGGGGGGGGGGGTGGCAATTCGTTCATATCGCGTGTTGTATATTTAAGCACGCCACCGCTTTTAACACTACAAAAACATTTAGAAAGTGGGTCTAACCCACAACCCCCTAGACTAGAGAGTGCTGCAACCTATGTCACAGGTATTCTCTTTTTTGGAAGAAAAACGTAAATGCAAGACAAGCCAGACTTCCTGGTCAGCAGACGAGTCTAAAAAATCTGTAAATGGAACGTGACGTATTTTGGCTAGGGAGATTATCGTGGATCTCACCCATATATTAACCGAAGTTAGGAAGTAGCAACGAGCATAATTGTATGCTTGGGGGTGGCCTCAACATGAGGAACTGTATTAAAGTGTCGCGGCATTAGAAAAGTGGAGAGCCACTGTACTTGAGGATAGAAATGGTTGTCCAGCATTTCTATTTGTTCTTGACATTTCTTGACTTCGTCCTTAAACAACTGTATGTTTACAGCTAATCAGAATCAAGGAACAACTATTACGCGGCACTGGAAGCAAGAGCCTTGTGGAATCCATCAAAGGATACCGAGCACCACGGTACAGTGTCACCAGCGATATCCAGTTTGATATCCTCAATAGTTGTTCTTTTGATTATGACACATCCATACTGACTAGTTCTCTTCCGGCTACACATTCGCAGTGGCCATTCACACTAGACTTTCGGGTTCAAGGGTAAGTATATTTATGATTTATCATCATCATAATCTTGTTTCTTCTCATACTCCTTCTTTTCCAACTCTACTACTGCTGCTGCTGCTACTACTGATGCTGCTGCTACTACTACTGATGCTGCTGCTACTACACTATTTATTCCTTTTCTCCTCCTTGTCCACCCCTTCCCGCCTCATCTTTCCCATTATTACCTTTTTTAATGTATCCCTCCCATTGTCCTACTCCTCCTCCTCCTCATCTTCTGCTTCTTTTTTCCACATTTCCTCTTTTATTTCTTCTTCTTCGTCGTCTTCTACTTCTTTAAATTCTTACTCTTTATTTTCTCCTTCTTGTTCGTTTTCTACCTTCTTCTTTCTTCATGATTTCCTCCTTATCCTTGTTTAACTTATTCTTCATCTCATATTCTTCTTTATCAAGATCGTATCTGTTGTCATATCAGTGTTTTAAATCAATTGCAACCCACTCTTAGATGCTTGGCCCCGCCGTGCCCCAGCCGGCAGTACCCGGGATTGTGGGAGGTCCCAGTCACTACCTGGATCGGTGATAATAATCAAGCCTGCAACACACCAGACATCTGCGTCGTGGGAGCAGGTCGATGGGTGGCTACTGAACAACAGTGGTACGACTTTTTCAAGTAAGTGAAATCAGTCAGTCAATTACTGGTTCGTTTCATATTGGGCAGCTCGGCTCTCTAGCGTAGTTGGCTAAACCGGATTGCGCGGAGACCGGGTGACGAACTCCTTGTGGTCCGGGTTCACTCGCGGGTGTAGGCAGAAAAGCCACATTTTCTTCCAGATTTACGGTATTTACAATGGAATCAAGGCCGAAAGGTTGCGATATCCATAATACCGAACCTAAGGGTTAACAACTCATGGCTTCTGGATACTGAAAACAAAAATAAAAAATCATATTGGGCAGTCTCACTATTGATATCTTTTTCTTTTCACTCCACTCCCTCTTTTACCGCCTCAGATAAAGAAGCAAACAAGAAGTTCTGTTCTTTTTCTTGTGGCCACATTTCTATAGACAAAATGAAGACGCTCGCCTCGGATCAGAAGGTCGTGGGTTCGCTCCCTGGCAGAGCCAGACTTTTAAAAATAATAACCTTGGCTCCCAGGTCGACTCAGCCTTGAATGGGTACCGGGTGCAATCCCGGTCCTTTTCTCCCTTTAAATAATAATCTGAATCTGGTCGCAGACCAAGAGGAATGATCCCAGATATCCCTTTCAACTTCCAGAGTAACTATAACTGTGTACTCACAACGGCTACACCAGCCGGGTGTCAGCCGCAGTCCTGTATGGGTGCCAAAGGCAGACCCTTTCTCTAAATGTCTCGACATGTTCTAGCCAAACACATGGACGACTTCATGCGTGTCAGCGCCGCACCCCTTTCACATGTTTGCTGTTCAGACAGGCGCCATACCTTGTAAAACGTCTACTTTGTCATTGGCATCTCGGCTATTCAAATAATTGCCCACACATAAACGGATCCTCGAATCATTATCATCATCATATAGCAGGTCCATTGCAGAACGTCGCTCTCATCACGGTCTGCCTGAAAGAAACTCGGTCTCTCGCCAGCTTTTCCGCCTCATGCACTTTCATACTTATGGAGTCACATATTCTGTGCCTATCTACGTGTTGGTCGGCCCCTGCCCTTTATTTCTGGTAGCATGCATTCTGTTAAAATTTTGTCCAATCCTTCGTGGCGCTTGTTATGTCCAAAATATTTCAGCTTCCGAGGCAGGATGCTGTTTACTAGCCAACCTTCCTTGATGTTCAGATCTTTCAAGATGTTCTGAGAATCTTTCTATAGCATTTCAGCTCTCAACATTCTAATTTTGATCTCCTTGCTGGTGCTTAACCATAGACTTTTAAGGCTGTTTAATCTTTGCATTGCTAAGGTCATCCTCCTTTTAATTTCTCCATTGGTATTTATTATAGAGCCTAGATACACAAAGTTTGTGACATTTTCAATTTCTTCACCATTTATTGTTATTTTTGGGTGACAGCCAGTTTTATCTGTGGACATTATTTTCGTTTTCTTTAAACTCAAGAACAGATTTGGATCTTCACTGTGCTCTTGGACAGACATTATTAAAGTTTCTATTCCCTTTACGCTGTTCGAAAGGAGGAAATCCTCGAAATCGCACTAAAAAAAAAAGGTTAAAATGCACACCTATAAATGCTCCTCTCCCCACCCCCCCCCCCCTTTTTCCACCCACTTTTCCAAAAAAAAAGTGATTTCCAGAGGCGACGTTATGGAGAGGCCAAAACGTCAAATCAAATTCGAAATCTTTACTACTAAGTTATCAGTCTGTCTATTATTTCATTGTGTGAACGGTGAATGAATCAATGTAAAATATTTGACAGGCCAGCATTCTATACTATGAAGTCTGGAAGTAAAGTTTTTTCATTGCTTCACTATATCTTCACATAATATAATGTTATCTTTAACGATATTGAATTCTACCGCAGGCGGAACTTCGAGAGATTCTACCCTACAAAGGTCCCGATGTCCATCCCCATTAGCAGTACTATGTTCCAGAACCATCCCAACGCCTACAGGGGACTGATCAGAGGTCTCCAGGACGTTCTTCGCAGCAGACAGGATGTGTGGCTGGTGACTCCGGGACAAGTCATCAGCTGGGTCAAATCCCAGCAGAGCAGTACAGCCATGAAGCAGCAGAAATGGGGATGTTAACTTAGCTTTACTGCTCATCGTCGTTTATTTCTATTGGTTATCAGTTCCAAATAAAGACCTCACGTGATGTCCTTCTTTAGAAAAAAAAAGGTGTTTTTTTTTTTTTTTTACTATAAAGTTTACAAATTTTTTTAAAATTATAACAAAAATGAAAAAAAATAAACATTAGTTGCCATTTACTTTTTGGGATGATTTAATTTTGTTTACACTGATTTTACGAGTTTGATCACAGTGAGTTTGTGTGTGACAAGTCCAGTCCACCCTCCCCTCCCCCCCCCCCCTTTTTTTTCCAATGAAACATAGGCCATTAACAATTCCTGTGCCGGATCACTTACTTCAGATCCAAACATGTGTCAACGGCAATAACCCAACCATAGCAAAAAAGTAATGACTGGTCAGCCGTTTGGTCTGACGACCTGACTTAATGTGTGGCCCTCTTCTTGTGCCTCTGTTAGTCAGGATGCATACTGCATGTTCAACCTGCCTTTAAGTCTGTTTTAATTGTGGTGGTTGGTAATGTTTTTTTTGTTTGTTGTTGTTGTGTCTGAACTTAGGTTCAATGCAATCCCTATCTGTCAAAGTTCCGGTGGGTAGGGTTTCCGCTGTCGGGAGTAGGAGGTTGTTTTGGAGTCCTAAAAACGCTGGTAAGGATTCCACCTGGGCTTTTTGAGCAGCGTGCATGGCCGTTTATGCTGTACTTTTTGGGCTATAAATGTCAGTGATGTCTGTCGAGGTCTCGGCCGGTTGGTTCTCGCTGCGAGTAGGAGATTAGTTATTCGATAAGGACTAGACATTAGAAGGGCTCGTCTCGGGCTTTCTATTTTGTGCCTGTTTTCAGCGATGCGGCTGCTCATCTGAGCGTTACTTCCTTTGGCAATGAGATTTTTAACTTCCTCACGTTCTTCGTCTTCTTCCTTTGTATCTACTTTTCAATCTCAAGATCTTCCTTGACCTGCGTTTTGACGTCTTGTAATGTTTTGGCAATCCATTCTTTTCTTTCTTCTTTCTGGTTTCTGGTTTGTCAGTCTTTGTTGTGTTTTTGGCCTTAGCAAATTCTTTCTGTAGTTGTTCACTCTGCGTTGCTCCTCAGCCGTGCCTCTTGATGAGAGATTATACCATTATGGCGATTTTATTAGTTTCCTTGCATTGCTGGACGTAGGGGCAGCCCATACACCTGACTATGAGTGTGCAGGAGCATTTGGCCACTTCCTGTTAATGTTAGGGAAACTGAACTCCTTGTCTGTGGTTGGCCAGTAAACTTTCGTTGAATGGATGAAACTCTAAACAGTAGCGACATCATTTTTAGGTGCTGTGGCACGTGGCTCTAAAGTGCCAAAATTTATGGCATCGAGAAACTACAGCACGTTGGAAATGTTGTCATTCTTTCGCTTTTTACTGTTTCTAATTGGTTGTGATAGTTTCTGGCTGGCAAACGCCTTCCGTCTTCACGAAAGCCATAGTCGATATATTGGTGGATCTGGAAGCTTAGTCCCTGGAAACTATGGAGATGTGTCGCTGACTTTGGTAACAGCATCTGCTGTGACTGTAAAGTTCGATGCGGGAGTGGCAGTCTCTGCTTCATTAGATGGACAAAAAAGTAGATAATCGCTCGCTGAGAGGCTGATTTGTGCTCTCTGGTGTCTCCTCTCTATAGCTCGCTGCGTTTGGTTTATTTTAAACTTCGACAATACGTCTTTTACATTCTGTCGCCATAGTGGTAGATCTGCAGCTGATTTTTCTCAAGTCTCTGTATCTATGTTGGTATCTATCAGGTCGCGTTTGCATTTGTCTTTATAACCTAGCTTTGGTCCTTCTTGTAGTTATGTTCCCTCTTTCCAGTTCATGTACAGGAGATACTTTGTAATACGTTCATTCTCCATGTGGGAGGCATGCCCCAGCCAACGCAGACGTCTTTGCATCAGTATTTAGTACATTGATGCATTTTTTTCTTTATTCAGTATACAATCGTTGGAGACAAGGTCTCGACATTATATACCAAGGATGCGCCTCATACAGCGCATGTGTAAGGCATTCACTCTCTTTTCTTGAGGTACATATAGAGTCCTGGATTCGTACAGTAGCGTGCTTAGAACACAAGACTCATTAACTTTCATTTTTGTGTTACCAGTCAGCTTTTCATTTGACCAGACTCTCGCAGTGTGATTTGAAAACATTGTCCTTACCAATACGACAAGCTATCTCTGCATCTAGGGAATGATCGCCTGAAATTCGCGAGCCTCTGCACTCAAACTCATGTACAGCCAACAGTTTATGGTCACAAACATGAATGTTTGGTGGGTTTTTAACATTCATTCCCACCTTTTACGTTTTGTTTAGACTGATGGTAAGCCCAAATTCTTCGCATGCGTTGCCAAGCGATTCATGAGAACCTGCAGATCATGCTGTGTGTGAGCCCCAATGGCTGCATCATCTGCGAAAAGAAAATCCTTGAGGCATCATCTGTGCACCTTCGTCCTTGCACGTAGCCTATCAAATTAAAGAGAATTCTATATGCCCTGGAACGGAGATATATATTCCTTTAGTGGCTGTTCTAAATGTGCGCCTTAACAATTCAGTTAAAAAAAATGCCAAACAAGGTGAGAGCCAGAACGTATCCTTGCTTTACTGCGTTACGAATCTGGTTGGTGAAGACCTTGAATCCTCATATATTATAGTTCTCTGCATATTCTCGTGGAAGGATTTTACTAGACTTTTTAGTATAGGTGGTCATCCGTATTTATTAAAGATATGTAACCGACCATCTCTGCTGACATAATCAAAGGCTTTGATGAGATCTATGAAGGCAATAAGCAGTGGCCTCTGTTGCTCTCTGCACTTCTCTTGCAGCTGCCTGATGGAGAAGATCATACCAACTGTTGATCTGTGGGCCCTATAATCACACTGTGATTCCGATTA